GCCCGGGGCTCCCCATCCCATGTCACCGCCGCCCCCCCAGCCCGGGGCCCCTCATCCCATGTCACCGCCGCCCCCCGCCGCAGCCCGGGGCTCCCCGGCCCATGTCACCCCGCGGGGGCTCCCCCCGGCCGGCCCGCGCCGCCCCGGTACCTTGAGGGTCACGTCGCAGAGCTTGCCCTGCCTCCGGATCTCGCCCATCACCCCGTAGCCCCGGCTGGGCAGGTCCCCCACCGAGAAATGCACCAGGTCCTCGGGGTCCAGCTCCGGCTCGGCCGCCGCCTCCAGCATCTTCCCCGAGCCCCAGCCCGGGCCGCGGCCGCCGCGCTCGCCGCAGGGAGGGCAACGCGCGAGGAGACAGACGCCTCCGCCCGCGCCAGCTCCACGCTGGCCCCTCCCGGCCGCCGTAACCAACCAGAGCCCTCGGGCCCCGGCCGGAAACGGACTCCCCTCGCTTCCGCATTCTCCCGGAGCACTTCCGGACGCGGCAGGAAGTGGCGGTAGTCATGGTAACGGGGTGTACACCCACCTGCCTCAGCTTCGCCCCGGTGCCTGCGGCGCTGCGGGACCTGGAGCGACAGGAGCAGGCGGCGGCGGCGGGGGGAAGAGCGGCCGCTCCCTGTCAGTACCGGGTACCCGGGGCCCTGCCTGGTACTGCCCGGCCCCCGGCCCCTTCCCCGTCTCCATCCCGATCCCCGGCCAGCGCCCCCTTCCCGTCTCCGGCCCCTTCCCCTCTCCCCATCCCGATCCCCGGCCCCAGAAATCCTCACCAGCCCCGTCCTTTGCCCGGCCCCACCTCCCAGCGCCCCCTTCCCCAGCCTCCTGTTACCGTCTCCCCTTCCCATCCCCACCTCCCAGCGCCCCCTTCCCCGTCTCCATCCCCCGGCCCCACCTCCCCCTTCCCCACCCCCCTGTTCCCATCTCCTCTCCCCACCTCCCAGCACCCGTCTCCATCCCCCGTCCCCAGCCTCCTGTTTGCCCATCCCCACCTCCCAGCCACCCCATCCCTGTTATTGTCCCCATTCCTGTCCCCACCTCCCAGCATCCCCATCATCCTGTCTCCACCCTGTCTCCCTGTCCTCATCTCCTGTCTCCATCCCCATCTCCCTGTCCTCATCCCCATCCCCTCCCCAGCCATCTCTGTCCCCATGTCACCAACCCCATCTCTCAGACATCCTCATCTCCCTGTGACTATCCCCATCTCCCAGCCATCTCGTCCCCACCTCTCAGCCACCCCCATCTCTCAGCCATAACAATTACTGCCTCCACTTTCCCAGTGTCCCCATCTTCGTCTCCACATCCCAACCATCTCCCGATCACCACCACCATCCCCACTTCCCACCCATCCCTGTATTGCCACTGTTTTTTTCCCCTCATCCCAGCCATCCCTGTGTTGCCACTGTCTATGCAACTCGCTGTCCCCACATCGACACATCCCAACCAACCCCTCATCATCACCTCTTCCAACCTCACTTGCTGGATCACACCGTCCTCTTCCCCGTGTCCCAGCCATCTCCTATCTCCTATTGCCATTGCTCCCATGTCACCACCATCCTCATCCCTGTAGCATATCTGCCTCCATCCCCAATGTCCCAGCTGTCTCTGAGCTCACATTGCCACGGCTCCTGCATCCCATGTTCTCACCCCTGCATCACCTCCATTTCTGTACCCACATCCCAACGATCCTCATGCCATCTCTAATCCCACAGCCCTGTGTCACTGTTGGCTCTGTAACCACGTCCCAGGCATTTTAAAAACCTGGTTGACTACATGGCTTGGTAGATTGGTAATGGTCTATGGAGCCTTGTACTTCTAGGTCACTGGTTAAAAGCCTGTCTGCTGACAAAGTTGAAAGGCTATTTGGTGGCCTGTGTGGAATGACTTTGGTGGATCTCAATCAGTGGATAGGTGCCCATGTGACAAAAACAACCATCACAAGTGACACTAATTGGCATCCTTGTTGCAGTGACAGCAGAAAGGCCTTGCAAGGACTGAACGGGCTGTGGAGATTGAACTCCCTTTCTTATCCATAGCTGTGAACCTTCTGTCAATGGTAGAGAGTCACAGGAGCCACTTTCTTCTAACACTGAACGAGGAATTTTATTAGAATAAGAAAAATTGCATTAGCCCCAAGGCTATTCTCTCCCTCTCTGTGCTTCACCTTAGAGCTTCTGCTTAGAACCTTCTCCAGCTCCCTCTTTCTGCCTGGCTTCTTGCTACAGCTTTAAAGAAACAGTGCACCTATCCTCACAATCTTCTTGTCAAGGTAGAAGCCTATTGCTGTGGTACTGTGAAAGATTACAGTACCACTACCTGAACGGTACCTGTTCTTTGGATAAAGAAAGAACTTCACTCTCCGGGACTAGCAGTTGTTCACTAGCACTAAATACATTTTAAAGTAATAACATAGAAAGTGCATGTTCATGTGTATCTGTTTCATTTCCTCCAGGTGTCCCCACAAGCCATTATCTGTATTAGTTGGTGAGTATCATGAGTCTGATGAGATGGTGAGAATTTTCCAATCTAAGGGTCTAATCCTGCAAGTCCTTAGTTGGTGAAACTGTCATTGAGTCCTGTGGGAGTTTTGTGCATCTCGGGCTCACAGGATTGTATCCTAAATTAGATTAACAGTATGAATTAGACACAGTGCCTGACATACCACCAGACAATGGTCATATGTCAATGCAATGTAAAGGTTTTAATAATCCTCTCTGCTGGAGTGTTGATAAAGAAGGAAATCTTGAGGTGTTTGGATCCGGATTATGCTAGGAGTTTGGGTTATAAACTGAACTGGGTTTGGATTGGGTCATTTTAAATTCTTGAAAATCAGATGTTCGTGTGAGATTTTCAATGTCTTGGGCTAAAATTTGACAAAAATAACTTTTTTCATGATATTTCTGCCATGTTTAAACCAGAGCCAGAAAACACACGGTTGTAGTGGTGCGTTGGATCCGATCCCCATTCCACAAAATCCTATTGGATTTGGGTTCAGGGTGCCAGGTTTGGGCCTCGTTTAGTTTTAAGGAGGAATCTGAATGAAAAGAATATTGTCATTTGGTGCATTAAGAGAGGGTTAATTGAAACTAGAATTTGACCTTCCAGATGTCCTCTATTTTAGGAGCGCACACTAAAAGCATTTGCATCCAACCATTACTGAACTCTAGAGAGAGAGAACCAGGGTGCAGAATCGTGCAAAACCAAAGAGCCAAGGAAAATGACAAGGGAATCATTAGGTACAATTAAAGAGAAATCCCCCTCATATGAAATGAATACACATCCATGCCCTGGGTTGTGTTTCTTGAGACATTCAGATTGTTTGTAAAGTGCTTTGAGAGCCTCACATGAAAGGTGCTTTTCAGTGATCATGAGAAAGAAATGTCTATATTTTATTATTAATTTAAAAAATGAATCAGATGGATAATAAACCACCTAAAGCAGTGTAAGGAATGCAGAGCCTTGTTCTACATGGTATCGGTAATGTTGTAACCCTGTCTCAGGTCATTTGATCTTAGGTGAACAATACGCAAATGATCACCCTAGAAAGCTGATATACTAACATACAACACCCCAGGGGTATTCGCCCCTGTGTAATGGCCACTTTATGCTATCTATGCCCTTGGGAGGTGCAGAGCCCCTACAAAGGGGGGTGTTCTGGAGTGGTCCATGAATAGGTAGGGCCGGGCAGGAGGAGGTGTGGCCAGAGCATTCCTAGTTATTCTGAATTATTCCCTTTTACTCAAGGCCCACAGTGCCCATACTAGTTGCACAAGTTAAGGCAACTCTCAGATTGCAGGCTGTTTGGGGAAGGACCACATTTATCTCTCTGTCTGTATAGTGCTTAGCACAAAGTGGCCATAATCTTAATCAGAGAATCTGGGTGTCATAGTGAAATAATAATAATAATTAATAATGAATAAATAACATAGCAGCTTTTGTCCATGGATCACAAAATCCTATGTCTGATGTAAAACATTTTCATTAAAAGTTTGTGGCTAAATTGTTGCTGTTGTAGCACTGCGTCTTTAACACATCCTCCTGTTACTGTAAGAATTACATGGCTCAGTCTTTGCATTTATACTCTCTCAGTGACTTCCAGTGCTCTGTTTACAGGTGAAAAGATTATTTTTCCAGCTGTCAGCATCACTTAGTCACGCTGGGATCTGAAAATCAAGCTGAGCTCTCCCTGCCTCTCAATTCACCAGTGATCAAAAGTTTGCTGACAGAATCTAGGGCCAAATTCTGCACTCAGGTACACCACTGTAAAGATGGCCTAACTGCATCAGTGTCAATGGTTTTGTATCAGAGAGCAGAATCCAGCCGTTAGCTGAGAGTTGCATTGATGATGCATGAGGCAGAATAGAATCCATTTCATTCTCCTGTAGCTGTTTTGTTCTGCAGGACTAGCAGGAAGAGAAGCTTGTTTGTGTCAGTAAATAGCTAGAATTCAGATGCACAAGAAGAAATTGTAATGACTAAGAAGGTTTTTGCATGTTCTATTTTTACATGTTCACTTTTCTGACTTTAAAAATTTCCCTGCTTAGGCTAGATATGTGCCTATAGTTCCTCTTAATAAACCATAGTTAGAAACTACAGCTTAACATTTGTAAACAGTTTATTTTAAAAATTGATGACACCGCAGCCTACCTTTTGCTGATTAAAGCGTTTAAACTGTATTTTAGGGAACACAGTATTTTCTTGTAAACCTGATTTTCCCTTTTTCCCCTTCTTTTAGTTACAATGAGTGCAAAAGAAAGTAAAGTACATGCATTTGTGCGAGTCAAGCCAACAGCTAATTTTCCTCAAGACATGATCAAGTATGGGCCAGACAATAAGGTAAAGGAACAAGAGACATCAGGCGCATAATGGATCTAGACTCTGATTTAAGTTATGGTAGCAGAAATGAGGACTAACCCTGCTGCAGTTACACCAGGGATGAATTTGGCCCAATATCTCTTGTAGCACATCAACATTCTTCATCTCTGTCTTTTTAGAGCATAGATATTTACATCAGGAGAGATGTTAAGAAAGGTGTCGTCAATAACAAGCAGACTGATTGGTCCTTTAAACTGGATGGTGTTCTTCACAATGCCTCCCAGGATTCGGTTTATGATGCAGTAGCTAGGGACTTGGTATCCCAAGCTCTGGATGGCTATAATGGTAATTTTTTAATTGATATTTGTGTTATTTTAAGAAATAGTGGGGCTCCCCATCTGAGGATAAGATCCCTTGGATGTTACATTGGAGAAATGAATGAGTTCTACTGAATTTATTCTTTTGTTTTAAAACTTTTCTAGGCACTATAATGTGCTATGGGCAAACAGGAGCTGGTAAAACATACACCATGACAGGAGCAACTGAAAACTACAAGCATAGAGGAATCATACCCCGAGCTATACAGCAGGTACTGAAGTTTTGAATTAGAAAGGAGGGGAAGAAGGAGAAACTAGTACATCTGTCATATCATCTGTTGTCCTCTCAGTCCTGAGAAATTTGTTGACCACCCCAAACATGGGCTACAAGGTCATCACCAATCATTTTAACAGGAGATGGATATTTTATGGTCCTTAAAGAAGTTGTGGGACAATAAAAAAATCATTATGTTGCATCGTGATGTTCCATTGTAACACTGTGACCTTGTGCCGTGAGAGAGGTGACATTTCAATGCAATGAGATGACGTTGCATTGCGACATGCGGACATGTCATCCTGTTGCAACATAAACATGATGTCATGATGTGCAACTTTCTTAACCTCTCAAAAGGGCACTCTTTTGGGTGAAGATTCTTGTGTGCCTGCTCACAGAAGCACAGCTGAAAAGCAGAGTGAAGGGCTGACATAACCTACAGAAACCAAAGCTGGAAGGTGTTCTGCAACAGAACATTTTATTATTTGTTTCCAGTAGTGTACGGGGGTCCGGACTCACCCCTGCTGCACCTCCTGCTGGTCATCCAGGGAATTAGCTCACCAGTCTCTGGAGCGCCCTCTGCAGGCCGGTGATCTGCCTTGTCCTCTACTCTGGCCCCCATGTCCCTCCCAGGACCCTGGTGCCCCCTTGCTCTGGATGCTGCCCCCTGGCAATACCCAAACACTAGGTCTCCCCTCCCAGGGGAACCCCCACCCACTATCCCCACCTCACCTCAGGATAAGGCCACTGCCAGTCACCAACTAGCCCCCACTCTCTGGGGCAGACTGCAGTATAGGCCACTCATCATCAGCAAGGTTGGGTTTGGACCTGCTGCCTTGGCCTAGCCCTGGGCTGCCCTCTGCAACCCCCAGTACCCCTTGGCCTATTACCAGGCCACAGCCTGGGGCTATCTAATCTGGAGCTCCCCAGCCTTTCCCCAGCCCTGCTCCACTACAGATACCCTATGTCTAGCTCCCTACAGCCAGGCCCTTCTCTCTCTGAAGGCAGAGAGAGACTCAGAGTTTCTGGCTGCCCTGGCCTTTATAGGGCCAGCTGAAGCCTGATTGGGGCATGGCCCCAGCTGCAGCCACTTCCCCCAATCAGCTCAGCTTTCACTCTGCCTGCTCCCTGGGCTATCTCAGGCCCTTCCAGGCAGGAGCAGGTATCCACCCTGCTACAAGTAGCTACTGGGTTAGGTGTTTTCCGAGCATAAAAAAGAACTAATTCCTGCATCACAGAGCTGATCTCATTAGCTCATTGTTATACTGTCCTTAACTCCCGCCCGAGTAACTTCTTACTGGTTATATTCCTTGGTGTTAGTGTAAGTGCTGTTCATGCAATTAGAAAAAAGCAATTCAGCCAGCAAATGGAATGTTCTTTACTGTTTAGAGAAATCACAGAAAACTCTTGTTTTAGGCTTCCAACCCTTGACAGTGTCCCTTTAAAGGTATAATATTTTCAAAACCAGAATAATTTTGAAAATCTTATTAGAGCCGCTGCAGTCCTGCTGAGAGTGTGCCATATACTGACTGACTGATTTATAGTGATTCACATCCTGAAAAGCCACAAATTGATAGGAACCTTGTTTGTGAACTCAGACTGTCATTGACAAGCATATGATCTGTGCAGGTGTTCAGGGCAGTTGAAGAACACATCGATCAGTCCATCACTGTCCGAATGTCCTACCTGGAAATCTACAACGAGACTCTCTTCGACCTTCTCTCCACTATGCCTCATGACATGTCCGGTGACACTCACATGGCTGTAGTGGAGTACCCACAGGGTGTCTTTGTGAAGGGCTTATCTATGCATCCAGCCAGCCACGAGGAAGATGCTTTAAATCTCCTGTTTGAGGCAAGATAAAACAATGACTCACTATTATTTCTCATCCTTATTTTTTATGTTTATTTTTGCTGATTTAGCTGAGGAAAGGAAAGTTGTCTGGGGTTAGAGCAGAAGATGGGAAGTCATGGGTGAGATCCTCACTTCTTCTCCAGCCCCGGCATAAAACCCTGGTTCCTGCCAGGGAGGGTTCCCCTGGTGCAGATACTGTGGAAAACAGCATACGGCTGCTGTCCGAGAACCCCCTTGCAAGTCCTGGTATATTGGCAGTGCTGGGGTGAGGCTGGAGGTGGAAGAGGTGTGTCTGGGATGGGGCTGCAGCACACACTGCTGTGTTGATTCCAGGTAGCATTGTGGCCCATAGGGCAGGCCAGGGAGGCTGCTGTAACTTAGACAGGTCCCCAGGGTTGTCTAAATTATGCTGAGGGCCTCTCTAGCCCTAGAGCAGCCCAGGATTGGGAGTGCAAGCTGGCTTGTTTCCAGTGCGCTGGTGATCACATTTAGGAAGTCAACGACCAGCTTAAGCAGAGTGCAAAGGACAGTCTGTAAGGTATCCTAATAAGCAGAACCACTGTCTGAACTGTGTTGTCTTTCCTTTTTGAAAAAAATGCTTGCCAGCTGTCCTGGCTGAGTCAACACTCTCCCATACCAAGCGAAGACACCTACCATTGACACTTTCTACAGATCAATGGGGCTGTCATGGCATGCCTACATCTAGTCAGTCATACAGAGGGGACACTCAGATAGCTGGGTAGGTGAAACTAGGAGGCATACATACATCTGCACCAATTTCGCACATAGCTCCCTATGTAGAAAGCATGTTTCACCAATAACTGACAAGCCCTTTTAAACCCTTCCTTTTTTTGCTTTCTGATTGCTGAGCCTATGTTCAGGTGTTCTGAAAAAGCTCACGTTGGGTTACTAGTAACAACCATTCTTGATTTCTAGAACGGGAGACATATCATAGAATATCAGGGTGGGAAGGGACCTCAGGAGGTCATCTAGTCCCACCCCCTGCTCAAAGCCGGACCAATCCCCAGACAGATTTTTGCCCCAGATCCCTAAGTGGCCCCCTCAAGGATTGAACTCACAACGCTGGGTTTAGCAGGCCAGTACTCAAACCACTGAACAAGACCTGGGAGTCAGGAGAAATGCCAGAGCAGTTTTTGGAGATAACTAGGCACATAGACATCAAAATGATCTAAACAGCACCACAGTAATTTGTGTCTGCAAATTGTGGGTACAAGACGGGAGACTGAGTTTTGAAAAATTTGTCCTTTGATCTCTGTGCTTCCATTTCCTCATCTGTAAAAGAGGGATAAGAACGACAAAGAGTCCTGTGGCACCTTATAGACTAACAGAAGTATTGGAGCATAAGCTTTTGTGGGTGAATACCCACTTCGTCTGATGCTGCGTCTGACGAAGTGGGTATTCACCCACGAAAGGTTATGCTCCAATACTTCTGTTAGTCTATAAAGTGCCACAGGTCTCTTCGTCACTTTTTACAGATCCAGACTAACACGGCTACCCCTCTGATACTTGAGGGATAAGAACATTTCTCTAAAGACACCAACTTGACTGGGTTCCTGTTTTGGGATCTCGACTCCTTACCATGAGGCAGGGAAGAACTCCTCTAGTTCTCAAAGGCTTTGAGACACAAGCAGGCCGGCCGCCTTTTGAGACCCACTACAGGTGCCTTAGTGGTGCCCTCTAGAACTTCAGTTCCTTTCTCACCATGCTCCACTGTGACGCTCCCTGTCAGCCATCACAGACAGTCATAGCATCATTTTCAGTGACTGATTCATTTTCTTGTGGTCCCTTCCTATCCTATAAGTAATCTTGGGTGTCTATTACATTTAGGGGAGATCTTTGCCTCATGCTTATCAAGGAACGGAAGCAGGCATGGACGCACTAAGTCTTGCCTGCCTGTTCCTCAAAGGGCCACATTTTTTGAGGGTTAGGGGAGCTCTGGCCCCTTTCACACTAGGAACCTGAGCCCCAAGGATGGGAATCCAGTTAATATGGAATGTTCAGAGAAGCAATATGACAGATAAGTAGTGATCCCTTACCTGTCTTCATGAGTGGAATATTTGTAATGTGCTTCGAGAGCCATGCTAGAAATGCCTACCATAGACAGATGTTGGGAGCGCCTCAAATAGAAGGCTGTGGATAAGTGACCAATTTTATTATTATCTCTACCTATTGAAGATACAAGCATTGTTTATTTAACTGTGACTTCAATAGTCTTCCTTTCACATTTATTCTACTAGTATTTATTTTATTTTTTAATAAAAATAATGTTCTCTATTTTGACTTCATTTTCAGGGTGAGACCAACAGAATAATAGGTGAACATACTCTGAATAAAAATTCATCCAGGTCCCATTGCATATTCACTATCTATATTGAGGTAAGTCTGCTGGCAGGTTTCCTGGGGGCTCAGAAATCTAGGGGTCTTTAGAATTTAAATGTGTACTCTACTTCAGTTGTGTGTAATGTTAAATACAAATTTTTTCCCAGTCTCATTCCAGAATTTTGTCAGATGCCAAATACACTGCTTCAAAAATTAACCTAGTGGATCTGGCAGGTTCAGAGAGACTGGGGAAGACTGGGGTAAGCAGATGGGAAAAAATGTTTGCTCTCTAAGAGATGGGTCCAGTTGTTAAAGTGATGCCTGTGGAGTCAGAGAACTTTCCCACTACAGTTAATGGAAACAGCAAAACTCAATTCCCTTTATGTCACATTGAACATTTACCTCTAAAGGAGGCTGATAGTGAATATAATTTATATTTCTGCTTTAGCCAACGGAATTTTATTCTAGCTTGTTTCTGGGAATCTGGTGTCAGGACGAGAAGGGGCTTGATGCTGGTGTTAGATATACTCTTCAGTTGTTAATCCTTAAGTATGTGTCAGCAACCCCTTACCACAGTTGCACAAGAGGAGCTGAAGATTTTTCAGAATCTATGCTTGACACAAGAATCAACCCCCTGGTCAGTAGATAGGAGGAACCATGACAAATCTCAACCCCATGAAAGCATCAGAGGAGCTCAGTTATCTTCAGTAGCTGTAATGTCTTTTTATCAAGTCCAAATGTGCAAAACTCCATCCTCCAGGCAACTCTCTCCTGCTCGATCATTCCTTCCAACAATGCCATTGCTCAGTCTAGGCAAGAGCCTGAGCCATCCGCCTTATGGGGAACTCTTTGTAATTCAGCTTCATTCTGCAACTGCACTGAAAGCAGAAATCCTTCTGCCTCTGGTGATACTATGGAGACTGATGCAATCGCCTTTCTGGAAGAATAGGGAACAACTTAAACCTTCAGTGCTCCCCTGTGATATATTATATTGTGTTGAGCAAGTAATCCCCGGGCAGCCTTGTGACAAAGGGAGGATTTCCCCTTTCAGAACTAGGAAAGCCAATATTCTGGCAGACTTGTTATTGCCAAATCACAGCCCTGAAGAACTTTCTCTCAAATTGCAGAAAGCCCTTCAGGATCTAGAATCTCATAGTTAGTCTGTGTTGGACTCATCATCTCATTTATCCTCCACTTCAATCAGAGCTGTAAGCCCAGTGAGGGACACACTCTTTTGCAGTTCACCCAGAAAGATGCATGTGGAAACTTTTTGCCTTTTGGTCTTTCTTGCAGTCCGAGGGGCAGGTTCTGAAAGAAGCCACATATATCAACAAATCTTTGTCATTCCTTGAGCAAGCTATCATTGCACTGGCTGATCGTAAGAGGGACCACGTCCCCTTCCGGCAGAGCAAGCTCACCCATGCCCTTAAGGATTCATTAGGTAAGGACCTGGAATCGGAATAGAGGGACGAGAAAATACCTTGGTTTCGGTTCTCATGAGGAGATCAAGCCACAACCAAACACGCTCAGTCAATCTGATGGCTTGTCTACACAGTGATTTAATGCGTGGCCAACCAGAGTGTGAATCTACAGCGCACTAGCTTGCTGTGCACTAACTGGCCCTGTGGACCCTGTTATAACACACTAAAAGTTCCATCGTGCACTTTGACCTCCTACCATTCCAAACAAGCTAAACCAAGGCAAAGTGATTTCCAAATCACTCACCATTTCAATGATGTGCACCCATGTCAAACAGCAGTATGTCAAAGCGCACTACTGAACTTACAGTGTGCTGTAGCATTGTCCACACGGCCAGTTAGTGCGTGGCAAGCTAGTGCACGATAGAGTCACGCCCTGGCTGGCCATGCGCTAAATCACTGTGGAGACAAGCCCTCAGTTAATAATCTAACATGAAAAATTAGCAGTGGTTTCTGTTTTTCTTACCCTAATGAAACATCAGGTATACGTACTGTGACAGACCCAGACCAGTGGGGTACAGGAGTCTGGTAGAGGGCAAATATACTGGTCACTGAATGAGTAGTTTTCTGTTCCCTGAGTGACCAGAGCAGGGGCTGCACTAGAGTAATCAGGAACCTGCTAGAACCAGTTAAGGCAGGCAGACTAATTAGGACACCTGGAGGCAATTAAGAAGAAGCTTCTAGAATCAATTAAGGCAGGCTAATCAGGGCACCTGGGTTTTAAAAAGGAGCTCACTTCAGTTTGTGGTGTGAGTGTGAGGAGCTGGGAGCAAGAGGTGCAAGGAGCTGAGAGTGAGAGGGTGTGCTGCTGGAGGACTGAGGAGCACAAGCGTTATCAGACACCAGGAGGAAGGTCCTGTGGTGAGAATAAGGAAGGTGTTTGGAGGAGGCCATGGGGAAGTAGCCCAGGGAGTTGTAGCTGTCACGCAGCTGTTACAGGAGGCACTATAGACAGCTGCAGTCCACAGGGCCCTGGGCTGGAACCCGGAGTAGAGGGCGGGCCCGGGTTCCCCCCAAACCTCCCAATTGACCTGGACTGTGGGTTCTTCCAGAGGGGAAAGTCTCTGGGCTGTTCCCCAACCCACATGGTGAATCTCTGAGGCAAGAAAATCCGCCAATAAGCGCAGGACCCACCAAGATAGAGGAGGAACTTTGTCACAGTACACACAAGCCTCATACTGATCAAGCCAGTAGAAACTTTACTAAACTTTTCTCAGCTGAGAATACTTTAAAAACACACCACAGTCCTTTCAAAGTTCTGATCCTGCAGGTGCTATCAACTCTCATTGAGTCCTGCAGGAGTTGAGGATGATCAGGACCTGGGCAAACATGATAAATGCAAAAACTGTATTACATCTGGAATCTGTAGGACAGGAATCCACTTCAACAACACTGTATAACACAGTCTGAATAGAGAAAGCAACTGAAGACAGGCTGTAGACGTTGGCAGTAAGGATCTGATATCATACAAATTTAGGGTGGAATTTCAAAGCTCTCAGCATTGGCCCAATCCTGCTCCTCCCTCTGATTTCATTGGATGAGAGGCCAACACTGAGTGCTTTTAAAATTCCATCTTTCAGCTTTTACCCCACTCCAACCATTTACAGTTTGCCTTGCCGCATACTTCACACTAACTCAGAAGGCTGGAGCCAGAATATTGGCTATTCCCTTAACTCGTTCCATACCACCATGCTTATGAACATTATCTTTCATGGTCACCACTGATAACCCTTCCTGTGTCCTTGGAGGAAAAATTACAAACTAGCTATGTTCATTGTAGTCGTGCTGTGTCTTTCATTCTTCACTCACTACAGAATGTAAAATTCTCCAGGAGGGAACCCAACACAGAGGAAGTCACATTCCTCCCCCTTGCTGTCTTTTTCAGGGGGAAACTGCAATACAGTCCTGGTGGCAAATATCTATGGTGAAGCTGCTCAGATAGAGGAGACTGTAAGTAGAGAAACAATGAGGAGTCCTTGTGGCACCTTAGAGACTAACAAATTTATTTGGACATAAGCTTTCGTGGGCTACAGCCCACTTCATCAGATGCATGGAGTGGAAAATACAGTAGCAGTTGTGTGTGTGTGTGTGTATATATATATATATATATATACACATAATACATGAAAAGATGGGAGTTGCCTAACCAAGTGGGGGGTCAGTTTTTGCTGATACAGACTAACATGGCTACCACTCTGAAACCTGTAAGTGGAGAGAGTTCCTTCAGAAATGATGTCCTTCATTTAAAGACATTTTGGTCCTGTCTGCGCTACAGTCAAAATCATGCTAGCAATAACCATGATTAAATTGTAGCATGCACAGCGCTGTAGTTTGAGGTCCAAGGGAAGTATGTCGAATTCAACAAAATCATTGACATTGCATCAAATGCAGCATGGAACTATATGGGGCTGGTTTTTCCAGTCTGCTAAGGCCACTTTGTGGCCACATAAGCCATCCATTGAGGATGCTAATCTTCCAAGGGGAAAATGAGACTCACCCAGATAAATACTCAAGGCCAAATTCAGCCTGGATCTAAGCATGCATAGTTTCGCTATGTATTATTATTATTTGTACCTTTCCAACAATGGGTGTGGAACTGTACAGCACACAGTGAAGTCAATAGTTATACTTAAGGCCCTGTTATAAACGGAGATCTTTTTTTGAAAATGCCCAGTAGTGCCACGCATGAAGTGTTGATTTTCATAGAATATGCCTGGCAGCCAAGTCCCTCGCGAAGTGCTGCAATTTTTCCAACGATGGGGAGGCAAAAGTGAGCATCTGTGCACGTCAGTCTTGTGCTCAGTGCAACTGGTAGTGCGCAGTAGCATCACCTTGGAGGAGCAGTGCGGGGGGGGGACCCATGTGAGGCACAGTAGCCAGCGCTGCCACCACTTGGAACACAAGCAGCTGTGGCCTCAGTGGGGAGGAAGAAATGGGCATTTGTGCTCTGGTGTTATGCTCAGTGTAATGCCTGGCACACGTCAGTGTCATGTCAGAGCAGCTGTTTGGGGGGACGTGGCAGCTGGTTTTATGTGAGGTACAGTAGCCAGTGCGTGACCACTTGGAACACGCCCTACAAGCCACACAGAGCACAAGACTGGCATGCACGGATGCCTGCTTCCACCTCCCCGCTGAGGCCGCGGTTGCTCATGTTCCAAATGGCAGTGGCGCTGGCTACTGTGCCTCTCCTCACATAAAGCTGGCTGCCGCGTCCCCCCGAACTGCTGCTCCAGTGTGACGCTGCCCCGCACTATGAGCCACACAATGCACAAGACCAACACGCAGATGCCTGCTTCCATCTCCCCGCTGTTGGAAAAATCGCGGTAATGGGCTAATTTTGTGATTTCCGCTCAGTCTGTGAAATTGTGATTTCCATAGGGCCTTAGCCATCCCACTTTACACCAGGGCTGAATTTGGTCCTTGGTAGCAACTACACAAACAATTTGGTATGCTAGTACCAGCAATAACCTCCTCATGGTGAGATCACTTAGGCTTTGGAATAATTCTCCACAGGAAGTTGGTGGTAGCCTCATTGCTTGAGTCATTTAAAATTGGGCCGAACAAAACACTACCATAAAGTATTGAAGGGAAGAATTCTGCAGTTTACCAGGGAAGGAGTTAACTAGCAGACATTTTTTGAAACTAAATGACCTATCATACAATCTTCTCTGCTATTGGATATCATTATTGTTATTTATTATTCGTGCTGCAGTGACACCTAGAGGCCCCAGTCCCATTGTACACACATATAACAGAAAGGACAGTCCCCACCCCGAAGAATTTACCATCTAAAGTCATCATCTAAAGATGAATAATCATCTAGAAGCAACCTACTCCTGGAATGGGGATAGTGTAGAATGGTGGCCTACAATGATATAGCTTTTCCATTTCTAGCTTCTGGGATCCTATAGTATTAAAATAGCAAAGGTTTTTGAGTCTGGTCTGGTGACCCAAACTTGTTTCCTGGTTGATAGGCAAACTGTAATGTTTTTCAGCTGTCCTCTCTCCGTTTTGCTACCAGAATGAAATGGGTCACAACGGAGCCAGCCATCAATGAGAAATACGACCCAGAGGTATGTATATTTTTGAAGGGAAATGGAAGGAAGGAGGTTCTCTTTTTCTCAGATCCAGGAAAAATTAAGACAACACTTCCCAAGCTTCGTCACCATGTGTATCACAGCTTAATAGAGAAACTGTCCCATGGACACCTTCCCTCCCACTGAGAGAATCATCTCCAGTCCTATCTGAGACCCTGCAGACCACCTCCTTTCCCACGGCTGGTCACACAACATCCCTGCAACAACTACAGCAATTATTCACATGGAAAAGTAACATTAGAAAAGTAATCAATATCTTTTAGCTTCTTTTAATGCACTTTAAAATAGGGAGGAGACTTGGCATTTTGTGTCCAACCAGTTCTCCTCAGACCACCAGCAAGTGCTCGATGAATTACTGGTGGTCCATGTACCACACTATGGGAACCACTGCTGCACAACACACGTGGCAGGAGAAAACCTTGCTGTACTGAACCGTCCGATTTCACGTGTCTGTCTACAGTAGGCGGAAGCAGAGAACCATATAGAGCAGCTTCCTCCAAGAGTTTTCAGACGAGGCTGTGGACTGTGCAACAAACTTTTCCTCTTCAGCTCCCTTTCTTTTGCTGCGTGATGAACTGAGTGGAAAAGAACTGAAATGCATTTAATGAGATTATTACATGTGGATGCTAAGTGGGAGCTTTGCAAAGGCACAAAGGGCAGTTTGGCAATTAATTCCCACTGAGTTTCAATGGGAATTGCCCCCTCAATAGCCAAAGCTTTAAAATATTCCAGATTAGGGAGACATGCAGGTCTCAAGTATGCTGTGTGAATCTGCTAGCATAATGCATTGCTGTTAAAGTCAGTGGCGAAACTGGCATTGCCTTCAGTGAAAGCAGCACTGGGGCTCTGTGCCTTCTGTTTTCAAAATAATGCCGTGTAATCCAGAAAGACCACAGTATGGGGGCATCAGATCGGTGAAGCACTGACTAGATAAACAGGTGGCTTTCCCTTGAAAGCTTAAAGTGACTTTACAGAGGGTGGCTCAAGACACAGCAAAGGAGGCTGCCTGCTAGAAGCTATACTAAGGCCAAGTGATTTCCAGATCACTTACTCACCATTTCAGTGCTGTAAGCCCAGCAGTGAATTCTCTGGGAGTTGGTACACAGCTGAGATTTTATTCAGCAGCCATAGGTGTAGTTTGACATCTATATTTGTGGGGGGCAGCTCCAGTCAAGCCAATGGGGAGGCAAATTCCACGCCTGCCTTAGGCTTGCAATTTGGGTGGGCAACACCTCCCCTGCCCCCCACCAAACTACGCCCATGCCAGCAGCCAATCTGAAGTGGCTTTGGACAGTTCTTTCTCTAGTAGCACTTGGTCACTTGGCATCTTTTTGTTTTCCTGCTAGCGGATGGTCAAGAATCTGGAGAAGGAGATTGTTCTTCTGAAGCAGGAACTAGCCATGCATGACAGCTTGGTAAGGAACAGGCTGCAGCCGTTAATTGCTGCCTATGCTTTCTCTCTAAGCCAACTTGCTGGGGATATTCGTGTGTGCTTTATCTTGATTTTAATTTATCTCTAGGATCAGTTATATCCATGCTTGTCAAGCTTTTGCTTTCCCACTGTGTCCCCAGTGGAGTCCTTTGAGTTTAGACAGAGTTCTGAGGGGCCCCACCAGTTTTCCCTCTTGTTCATTTCCCATTCCACAAGGTTCCATGTCATAGTCATTAACCCGCAGAGTCCTGGATGCCAGACAGTGTAGCCTTTCAAAACCCATCAGTGCCTGTCCTTAATTTGCTCAGAAGGGAGAGGCAGGGAGTGCACCACTCTCAGCCAACTCCAGAGTCCAGTGCCCAGCCAGTCTACAGGGTGGGAAGCAAAGTCTAAGAATTAAACCTGCCGTGGCAAGGCAGAGCACAGCCAGGTGACCGTCAGGCTAGCATTTGCCCAGCTTATTGTAAATTGTTGCAGTTCAGCTGTTCACCTTTTCATCCCTAGGTCAACCGTTCTCTGGTGAATTATGACCCTCTGAATGAAATCCAGATAGCAGAGATTAACTCTCAAGTCCGCAGGTACCTAGAAGGAGCCACAGATGATATTGATGTGAGTAGCTACCTAACTGACAACTTGCTCAGATGGTTATAGTTGGCTGGATTCCAGGCTCTTTCAGCTAGAGGGAATGAAATCAGTTTGTGGAGGAACTGAATTTAGAATTAAAGGTGGCACTAACTTCTTGAACACTTCCCTGTTATTTACAGGGAAACTCTGGACACCTGCCTTCTCCTCTCATTCTTATCTCCCCTTAAGTGAGTAGGAAGCTCTAGGAGGCTTCCACCCTGGCCTCAAACTCAGTGGGATGGTCTGCTTTGAACGTCCTTAAAAAGACAGTGTCAGAATTCTCCATCTGGGTAAAACTATGTCATAAGAACATAAGAACAACCATACTGGGTCAGACCAAAGGTCCATCTAGCCCAGTATCCTGTCTTCCAACAGTGGCCAATGCCAGGTGCCTCAGAGGGAATGAACAGAACAGGTAACCATCAAGTGATCCATCCCGTCATCCACTCCCAGCTTCTGGCAAAGAGATGTGTTCCCAAAGTATTGTTCAAAAAGTGTTCCACCTTTTTTTGGGAGAGGGGAACTTCTGGGGCACTACAGCCCCGTCTCTTTACTCTTTGCTTTTCTCCCACCCTCAAAGGTCCCAGAAAATTTTCCTGCAGCTGATGGGGGTTGAGGAGAGTTGGCATCTGTGGAATCCAGGGAGTCTTTTAGGGTCAGGGATGGTCAGCCTAAGTAGGAGATGGGAAGGACTGAGGAGTTTCTTATAGGGAAAGATGTCCTTAGTGGGGTCATGGAATCTTTTAGCGGGAATGATGCTTCTCTGGGAGTGGGGAGAATGTACTTCAAGACTTCCTAGAGAGGAAGGATGGTCCAGTGGTTAGGCCACTCGCCTAGGACTTGGGAGCTCTAAGTCCCAGACTCTATGTATGACCCTGTGTAAGTACCTTAAGCCCAGATCTGCAAAGGCATTTAAGCTCCTAACTTCTATTGATTGATCTGGGCCTTAGTCTGTAAAATGGGGATAATAGCACTGCATTAAAGCTTGTGAGGAGCTCAGATGCTCTGGCGCTGGGAACCAGATAAGTACTTTAGATAGACTCAGCAGCGTGTGAGTGAGGAGAGAGCTGCGTGGCCTGGAGGGTTGGAAGCTGCCTCCTGCGTAATGTTGTGTGTTACACTTTGGCTGATAATTGGCTAACGATTCCTGACCGCTGGGGTCCTACAGGATACCTGCACAGCTGGCACCTGCCTCAGCCTATCAGATAGATTCCTCTGTTCTTAAACAATGAGTGATGGTCAGAGCCACACGGGGCCTGATTTTCCTGGTGCAGGATACAGGGTTAAGTTATCTGTAGCCTGAGGCTAGAGAAGGGGGCCCTGGGATTCTATAGTATTTGAACCAGCCTTACAGAGCAAGTTTTTTAAACATTGCACAGTGAATGTGACCTGTCTCCCATTAGATCTTCAATGTACGGATTTCTTCCTCAGATAATGAACATCAGACAAATCCAAGAGGTATTTAACCAGTTCAAAGTGATTTTAAGGTAAGATGTTGTAGCCGGGGTATGTGCATTGGATAAGGAGATGTAGAAACTCTCCACCAAGCTTCTGTCTGTGACAGCACAGCACGGTGTCATGACACCGTTGGTGATGTCATTGTAGAATATGCAGAGAATAAGTTGTAGTTGTGAGACGCTCAGCCCAGCTCCTGATGGCTTGGTCAGGGGGAAGCTGCTGCTGGCTAACCCAGTGGCACCGATAGATCATGAGGCTGGTCCTTGGATGATGGGCTCCATGAATTGGTTAAGTGTGCTCTGGTGTCTGATGCTACAGTTACAAAAGTAACATGATGTCACTGCAGGAAGATTTGGGCTTTGAGGAGGGAAGTGGCAAGTCTGTGGTATGTCACCGGGGGGGGGGGGGGGGGGGGGCATTCCTGTTCCACAGGAATCCAAACTGGTCCAGATCCACGTGTTGGTGTTTTGCATAGATTTTGTGCCTTGGGGAATCCTTTTATGGGGTTAAAATAAAGCAAGAAGATCAGGTCTTCTCATGGTGGTTCCACCCTCCAGGGCTAAACTACTGTGGAGTCGTGTTATTTGGGCCATAAAAAAGGCTCCCTAAAGTATTTCAAAAGCTAGTGAAATGTATACGTGTCTTAAAAGAAGAGATTTTCAGGCCTAAGGGACAGCGTGGAAAAAAGGTGGGACGAAGAAAATAGAAGGAGGTCAGAACAGGTGCATGAAGGAGAGCGGCTTGGGAAGAATGCAGGAAGCAGGAGGGGGAGTAGGAGGAAAGGAGAGCAGAGGTAGACAGAGGGGTGATATTAGACACAGCTTTCTTTTGAAGTATGACACATTTACAAGTTTGGGGCTGTATGAAATTTTCCCTTGAGCACAATGAAAAGGGCGGTTATCTCTCCCCAGCCAACAGGAGCAGGAAGTGGAAGCCAGACTACGAAACAAATACACCCTGATAGACAAAGGTGACTTTGCAGCCATTACTGCTGCTCAGAAGGTAGGGCTCTGGGACTTGACCTTCTGCCTCAAATTCTTCCTACACTACTTGAGAGGAACCATTGAAATCCAAGGCCCTGAGCTACCATGGTGATGGGCATGACAGAAGAACAGAACTGCTACAAGTCAATAGAGCTGCACCAGTTTCCACCAGCAGAGAATCTAGCCCAGTATTTTAATAGGGTGCTTTATAAAATAGAGAAAAGGAAAATACATGAGAACTATTACATCAAAAATGCCTGCCTGCATGTCTGTCTGTTGTAAAATACTGGGCTAGATCCTCTGGCCCTGCTATGATCCCTTAGCACTGTTGGAGCTGCATAAAGGAGACGTACCCCACCCTAAAGGCAGATGTGGATTTCCTTATGTAGCTTAGGATGCAAGACATTTTTCACTATCAGCTTGTTTTTAGTTTGTCCTAACTTTCTGAAACTTTCACCTTCTGAGCGGATTACTTCCATGCTTCGACTATGCCTCAGTTTATTCACTTAATGGGTATAAGAATAATTATCTACCTTGCAGAGTTGTGGGGCTTAACTATAGGTGCTTTGAGATCCTTGGAAGAAAGGCACAATAGAAATGTGAAGTATTATCATAGCACAAAACTGCACAATCTCCAGGCAGACCCCATTCCAGGCTTTAATTTAAAGCTGATCTGGAAAACAGAAATGAAATGTGAGTTAAGCAGATTTCTGTGCTGAATGGGCCATTTAGCCATGCTGTTGAGACACTGACAGAAATCAGATTTTACTTATGAAATCCTCTTGCAAACTTCTCCTTCGTTGAATGAAGATAACCCAGAGTGCGTCATTCTCTGATATTATCAGTGACATCATGATTACAGTGAGATTTCTGGTATTTGTGAGGTGTCAGAATGAAGCATTCTGGGATATCATCAAAGAAACAGAAAATACAATAGGATTTAATAAAGGCGTGGGGAAGAAATTTTAAACGTTAATTTAAACCTGTTTCTGTGATGTAAGTCCCTACTTCCTCCAAACCTAGTTAGTGGGAGCACTCAGCACATGAATCTGAAAATAATTCCAAGGGCTTTTTTGCTTCTCAATTCACCTTTAAGATGATTTTTTCCACCAAGATGCCATGAGGTGAATCTGGATTTAGATTAAGGAATTGGACAGACTTACCCCTCTGAGCAGAGTATTTAGTTCTCACAAGCTGGACATCTGCAGGGGCTAATACTTCTGTATTCACATCTTCAGCCCCCTCTGTTTTCAGGCAGGCCTGGTTGATGCAGAGGGCCATCTAGTGGGGGAAGTGGACGGACAGGGCTTCGGGATTGGAGTTGCTCCTTTATCCAAACCCGGCGGGAAGAAAGTTAAAGCCAAGAAAGCCAAAGAGCAGCTTAGGTGAGTTGACATGTAAAACAGCGGTTCCCTCTCCTTTAGTCAGGTGTCTTTCTCCACTCATGAAAATCTTCCCTATGGCAGTGACATAACCAGGGATTTATGGGCTGCTTTACACCTACAGGGGTCAGTAGCTACCCAAGGGAGAAGGCTGTGGAGAAACAGCCCCAATAGCCCTCGTGATATTCTGTGCTTGTTTCAATGAGGAGGTCCCGGCCTACTAGGATTGGTGTTGATACATGGTTGTGGCCTGATCACAAAGACGACGGGCAGCGGGTGAAGCTTCCCCTTGGGGAGGCTAGACCCTGCCCCACCTCTTCTGGCCAAGGCCACGTCCCCACTCGCTGCTCTCAGCCCCTCCCCACAATGGCCCTGGCCCGGGTGGGTGCGAAGGGGGCTGAGAGCTCCGCCCTGGCCGAAGCTCCAAGCCCCGAGCCTCTCCTCCATTCTGCCCCTTCTGCCCACGGCCCCACCATGGCCCCACCATAACCCCACCCCATTCCGCCCCTTCCGTCGTGGCCCTGCCCCCATTCTACCCCCATTCTGCCTCTTCCCCCCAGGCCCTGCCCCCACTTGCTCCTTCCCTCCCTCCCTCCCCCCCGCTGCTGCCCAAAGAGCGGAAAAGCTCTGTGCCCCTGCCACAGCACCAGGGCCATAACAGGGAGTGAGAGTGCCTCTTTCCCTGTGGCTGTGGCAGGGGGAGATTTTTCTGGGGGCCTCAAATCCACTACTGCCCCACTGGTGGCATGAGATTTGAGCCTCCATTACGTACCGCCCATGACAAAGACCAAACCTGCCCCTCAGAATGTGTCTTTGCACAGTCAGCATCAGACTCAAATCCGTTTGGTTTTGTGGAAGTCTGGTATGTGCAGGATTTACTGCAAACGGCTACTCATGTTTATTACGAGTAGCACCTAAGGACAAACCAAGAATGGGGCCCCATTGTGCTAGGTGCTGTACAGACACAGAGTAGTAGATAGTCCCTCCCCCCAGGCAGGCATAGGATGGGGAAGGGATAGAACACACCAGCAGAGTGACTAATGTGATGGCAGCACATGGCATGTTAGTGCCATGATTTTGTTGTTGGGTGGGTTTAGTTAGAAGGGGATCAGCAAAATGGAAAGGGAAGTGGGATGAGAAGGACGGGGGGAGGAGGAGAGAGTAAGAGGAGCAGATGTGGAGTGAACCTGAGCTAAAGAGACTAGAGGGAGGGTTGGCGCAAACAGCCCATCAGCACAGGGCAGAGAAAGTCCTGTCAGAACAGTAAAATGTTCTCTGAATGTCCAGAGGCCCCTGTTCTAGCTGCTTCTGCTCCTGCTGGCTGGAGTCTCTGGCTGGTTTCTCCTTGCAGTTGTTCCCCAAGACCGCATGGGGGAAGGAGGCACCACCTCAGTCCTAGTACCCCTGAGTGGGGGGCATCTCCCCTGCACGTTTCTGGGTCCAGGAGGGGTGCTGGGGTGTGCTGCCGTGGTTGATGCCCGAGTGCTTCTCCACACTAACATGCAGCTTCCATTGTCATCTCTTACATCTCACACTGGGTGTCCCTTGCTGAACAGACTCCCGGAGGCCAGTTTAAGGAGACTCTCCACTTTTCTTCCTTAAACTGGACTGGGGGCTAAGCCAGGTCTTCTGGACTCTGCTACGGGGCTCCATTGAGGGTGGATAGGGGTCCACTGCCTGCTGCTTGCTCCAAGCAGACACTTGTATATTCAGTCTCTTAATGTGCCCTAGCCAAGTCAGTGTAACCTGTGCATGCGAATGGACTTCTCGGGAACCTTCACAAGAAGTTGATCCTGCGTGTGCTGCTATTCCTACAGATTTTATATTCAGGGAGGTCCCTCTAGGTTTGCAAGCAGGGAGCTGTGACAATAGAGACAATGGCTCCTGCCCCATTGAAGTTGGCAGAACTTTCACTGTTAACTTCAGAGGAGCAGGCTCAGACCTCCAGTTCTTGAATCAGAACTGGTTTCTGCAGTGTAGTTTTAGTATCAGTGTTTTGTCATATGCTGGAAATTAACCATTTCTTTCCTCTTAGCCCCACTACCAGGAAGGAAGGATTAGGAAGCCCTGTTTTGGGGAAAGATCTGGATTCTGTTTCCCCATCAAGGAGTGTGCTGGTAACTTCCGCAAAGGATTTGGATGTGAAGGAGGGACTAATACGGGAGCAGGATGCAGCTAGTATTGAAACACATCGCTCGGAGTCAGTGCCCAAGGAGGAGTCCCACCGACCGAGGTAACCTTTCACCTTAATGAGGCACTTTCCATTTGCAAAGCTAAACAGGTGGGGTCATTCAGGGTGCAAAGCCAAACAGAGTGCCCAGACGCTGAGCTGGGTCTGAGGAGGCTCGGTCTGTGATGGGGGCAGAGGGGACAGGGCCAAGGCTGAGGAAGTAGTTTCCGTTGAGCAAAAGGGACGCGTAGTGTTAGCTGTCCTCACTCCATGGTATTTTGGCCTAGGTTTCCTGCTCTTACACCTTGCTGTTTGCAGTGGTACTGTAATGGGGCACCATGCACATACATGGGAGTGGCTCGTGTGTGCATTTCAGTGCAGTAATACATCAGTGTGGTGTGTCTCCTGATTTTGGTTCTCTTGGATTTGGCATTCCTGTCACTTGCCACCTGGGGATTGCCATTGCATCCCCACTCTGGGTCCAGCTCCCACTAGCTTTGAAGTGAGCTGCTGGGTAAATTCCAGCCATTGCACCCGGCATCCGCCCTGCTTCTGCTCTCTGCTGTCGAAAACACGTCCCTGCTGCCAGCAAAGGAAGCCGTCCCATTAGACATGGTTTTCAGTAAGCGGTAGCAGCCCTAACATTTTCTTCTGAACTACTAAAATGTTATCATTGCTCAGTAACAGAGCTGGTGCTGCTCTGGGGCTTTACATTCGCAAACGCTTAACACACATTAACTAATTAAGCCTCACATCCCCCTTATGAGGTAAGGCTGTATTATCACCATTCTCATGGTGGGGATATGAAGGCTTGACCAAGATCGGGCAGGATGCCATCTGACAGGCATCTGTCTAGTTTTGTCGCGATTTCTAGGGGATCAATACAGGGTAGGCTCCTTTAAGGTAAGAGATGAATGACTTGCCTGTGTCAGAAGAGTTCTCTGAAGGTGAACCATTATTTCTATGGATTCACACTCCTCACCCCTCTTGTAGGTTCGCGCAAGAGTCTGGCTCCCTAGGGGATTCCCGTGGGAGGTTAGCCCAAGGGCGTGGCT